GGGGGTATCCATGGGCTTGGGATGGGATCCCCAATGGCACCCGGGGGTATCCATAGCCTTGGGAGGGACTTGGGATGAGGTCCCCAGTGGCACTGGGGGAGTTCCATGAGCTTGGGATGGGATCCCCACTGGGATGGGGGGCACACAGGGGTTTGGGGGGACATGGAATTGGGTCCTTGTTGATGATAGGAGGATACATAGGTTTGGGAGGGACTTGGGATGGGGCTCCCAGTGTCACTGGGGGTATCCAGGAGCTTGGAATGGAGTCCCCAGTAGCACTAGTGGTATCCATGGGTTTGGGGGGGCATTGAATGGGGTTCCCAATGGTACTGGGGAGAATCCAGGGGCTTGAAAAGGGTACAGGATGGGATCCCCAGTGGCTCTGGGGGCATTCACAGGTTTAGGGAGTATATGGGATGGTGGCACTGARGGRTTTCAGGGACTTGGGWTGAGGTCYCCAATGGCACTGGGGGTTAYCCATRGGCTGGGGTGGGGCTTGGCTCRGGGTCCCCAGYRGCACTRGGGGGATTCAGGAGCTTGGAGTGGYATCGGATGGGGTCCCTGGTATTGCTGTGTGTATGCACAGGCTTGAGGGGAGCATGGGATGGGGTCCCCAAGGGCATTTGGGGATGTCCATGGGCTTGACAAGGGSTTCCCAGTGGCACTGGAGGAATCCATGGGCTTGGAGGGGCATGGGATGAGATCCCCAACACCACGGGGGGAATCCACGGGCACAGGATGTGATCCCCACTGGCATTGGGGGCACACTGGGGATTTGGGGACACCTCAGGGTATCACAGCACCCACAGTGGGGTTCCTTCAGTCCATGGGCACCTATGACGTGGGGCAGGGCAGTCCCTTAGGTGACACCAGGCTGGGGGGTCACACCAAGCACCCCAGTACTGCCCTCCCACCCCAAGAGGGGCGCAGGCTTTGGCATATTAAATATTTAATTGGCAGCAAAGGCACCCGCTGGGCTCATCAGGAGCAATTAAGGCCCCCCCCGACCTCTGCAGCCTGGCCAGCTCCCCCGGCAGCACCATCCTGGGCACCCACCGCAGGATGGGGGGCTCCCCCCTTCCCCTCCCTGCTCTCATCACCCCCAGAACACCCCAAATCGGGGTGGAGGGGACAGCTGGGAGCTGGGGGGGAGCAGAGCCCCTGCAGCCCTTCCCCAGCAGGGCCGGGGTGCAGGCAGGGCCCCCCATTACTGCAGGGGTGAGATCTTCAGGGGAATCATTATCCGTGATTCCATGGTCCGGATCAACGGGACTGGAGGAGGAAAGGAGAGAGAGAGGTGAGGGGGTCCCCAGGGTGGAATGGGGTTCCCAGCATGGGCAGGGGGTCCCCAGGGTGGGATAGGGTTCCCAGCACAGACAGGGGGTCCCCAGGGTGGGATAGGGTTCCCAGCATGGGCAGGGGGTCCCCAGGGTGGGATAGGGTTCCCAGCACAGACAGGGGGTCCCCAGGGTGGGATGGGGTCCCCAGGGTGGGATGGGGTCCCCAGCATGGGCAGGGGGTCCCCAGGGTGGGATGGGGTCCCCAGCACAGACAGAGGATCCTCAGGGTGGGATGGGGTCCCCAGGGTGGGATGGGGTTCCCAGCACAGACAGGGGATCCTCAGGGTGGGATGGGGTCCCCAGCATGGCCAGGGGATCCCCAAAGCAGGCAGGGGTCCCACTCACCGGTGTAATAAACGTTCTCATCCCAGCCCCTYTTCCTCCAGGCCGCGTTCCTCGTCTCCTCCCGGGACTGCAGGTCCCTGTAGGCTGTGGGGACAGGACGGGGCCGACAYCCTGAGCCCCCCAGCCCAGCCCCCAGGCCCGGGGGTCCCCCAGGGCTGACAACCCCTTACCCCAGAGGTGATGCACCACGTAGAGCTCCCCGATCTGCGAGAAGAAGCCCCCGACTGCYTCTTGGTTCTCCTGGCGGTACTTGATGGCCCGAGCCCTGCAGGAAGCAGGGGACACATGRGGGGCTGCCCCAGGGGTCCCCCCTTCTCCTGTGGGACCTTTTCCCACCTGGGATCCCTCCATGCTGGGAAACCACTCACTTACCAGTTGTTGCCCCATTCAATCATGGTCCCTGGCTGGAAATAGAGCAGGAAAACCAGTCAGAACCCCCAGCTTACCCTGCTTGGAGTCTCCTCAGCCAGGAGGGAGGAATTTGGGGTGATTTCTCCCCAAAACCTCGGGTATATCAGCCTGAAGACCCTCCTCCCGAGGCACAGGCTGATCCCCACCTTCAGCTTGTAGGTCCTGAGCTCGTAGATGTTGGGTCCCTGGCGGGGCTGGGGCTCGTTCCAGAAGCTGAACTCCAGCAGCAGTTGGTTCCTGCGGGACAGCAGCATCCGGCTCCTCTCCTTGCGGAAGTCCAGGTACTCCTGGGGACAGCCCCAGCCGGGGGTTTTGGGGTGGGGGCAATGCGAGCCAGGGGCGTGGGGCACAGGGGTCTCGCCCCCACCCCACAGGTGCTACCTTGTTCTGCCTGAGCTTGCTCATGCAGTCCATGAGCGCYGGGTACCCGCCTGAGAAGCGCCACAGGTGCACTGCAAAGAGGGTTTTGGGGTGGGGAAGGGGAGCAGCACCCCAAAACCCCACCAAAATCTCTGCTTTTGGGAAGAAGAGGCACCAGGAGCCACCGCCTGTCCTCACCTGCCTGGTCCTGCTCGCCGTACCACGTGTTCCAGTTGCCCACCAGGTCACAGGGGTAGCCGGGGTCCGAGTGGAGCTTGGGCAGCACCTCCTCTCTGTGGGGGCACAGAGAAGGGCARTGGGGTGGGGRGCAGCGCCCCAAAACCCTCCCAGTGCCACTCTTTGCCCTCCCAGGCTTTGCCTGAACAGGGTCTGGAGCAGCCTGGGCGACGCACCCGTTTCACAGGGAGGGAAAGAAACTGAGGCACAGAACAGGGACACGGATCCACCCAGCACTCCAGAMGCTCTCCAGGAGCCCTCCCACCCCCCTCACCCCAGGGCAGCACCCCAACACCCCRCTGGGAAGCTGGGAAGGCCCCCAGCATGCTCACGTCAGCTTGTTGTAGGCTTCCAGGCATTCTGGCTTCACATTGTGAACTGGGGAGGGAGGACAGAGGGGCTGAGAAGGGGGGAACGAAGGGGGAGGATCCAAGGATGGGGTCTCGATGGGTGAGGAGGGTGCACCCCCTCTGCACCCCCTGCAGCCCCGATTTCCCAGCTGGAGTGCTCACACTGGATCTTGTAGAGGTTGCTGGTCTCCTTCTTGGACAGGAGGTTGGAATGCGCGTCCTTGCGTGGGTCCACCTTGTGCACGAAGAGGGAGCGGAACCAGCTGCCCTCGGCATCCCTGGAATAGCCCCTGYGGGACAGCGGGGCAGGGGGACACCGGGAGTCACCGGCAATGACCGGCCCGAGGGCAAACCGGGATCCAGAGGCTTTGCTGCCACTGCTGCCTCCACGGTCCCGCTTCCGGGGAGCCTCGGGATTTCACTGGTGTCTGCTCAGTTCATACTGGGAGCCTTGTCCCATTCTGGAGTGGCTCTGTCCCCAGCTCCAGTCTGTTCCCCCCGAATCCAGATGGAGCCCAGAATCCAGAGGGATTTTGGCCATGCTGTCCCAGCGGAGCAAGGGCAATGGTGTGGGGGTGTGGGACAAGGGGCAGCCCCCCCTCAGCCCCAGGGCCACTCCAGGAACAGTGACCCCTCCATGGGCAAGGAGACAACAGGATATGGGGCAATAGAAGCAGCCCCCCAGCCCGCCCCCGGAGTCCCCCATCAGCCCCAGCAGTGGCTCCGGTGCCCCGGGAAGGTCAGGCCCCGCTCCAGGGCAGCGGCGGTGGGGGGAGCTGCGGGTCCGAGCTGCGGCCGGACCTTTGTMCCCACTGAGGCAACGACCGTGGGGCCACTCCAGGGGCCGTCCGCGGGGTTCGGGAGRGCCGCGGGGCCCAGGGAGGGGTCACAGGGCTCAGGGGGTGCGGGGTCCTGGCCTGCGGGGATGTGGGGAGCAGGGGGGATGCGGGGTCCGGAGGGGTTGCAGGGTCCAGGGGGGGATTAGGGGAGCGGGGTGTGGGTGTCCTGGCTCGGGGCTCCGCGGGGCCCACAGGGGATGCGGGGTCTGGGGGCGATGCGGGGTCCAGAGGACGATCAGGGAGCTCAGAGGAGCGGGATGCGGGAGTCCCCGCCCAGGGCGATGCGGGGAGCGGGCGGGATGCGGGGAGCGGGCGGGATGCGGGGAGCGGGAGCCGTGCAGGTCCGCTGAGGGGGACAGGGGACTCAGGGGGCAGAGGCTGCGAGAGGCCCGGTAGGGCCGCGGGGTCCGGGGAACGGAAGAGGGTCCGGGGAAATGCGGGGTCCGGGGGAATGCGGGGTCCGGGGGAGATGTGGGCCTCAGGGCCTCAGAGGAGGGATCCCCGACCGGGAGGATGCGGAGAGCAGGAGTGAATGCGGAGTCCCTGAGGGACGCAGGGTCCAGCGGGGAGGATGCGGGGTGTCCCCGCCGGGAGAGATGAGGGGACCGGGGGGGATGCAGAGTCCGGGGAGGGAACACGGGACCCGGGGATGCCGCGGGGGCTGTCAGGGCGGGGGGTTCCAGGGGTCCCCGCCCGGGGGTCCCCACTCACCGC